GGAAAATACCATCATCTGCCAAAAGAAGAAGCAGATCTGTCTCAGAACAAGCACAGCCAGGAAGCGCCTCAGAGGCGAGGATGGCTGACTGTCTCACACACTTTGGACATGTCAGGAGAGACCAGTTCCTGGAAAAGGAACTCAGGCTTTGGAGAGAGGCGGCAACAAACGGGGATACCCTTAACGATATTGATTGACACAGGGGTTGGAAAAACGGGCTCAAATATAAGAAAAATTATGAGGATGGCACAGGACTGGACCTCGTTTTGGTCTGTAGTGTATAGATAGTGCTGCTATGAACAGAACTGACTAGGCAGCAGCTGACAAAAATATCACAACAAGCAAAGATAAAATGGAGCACAGAAAATAAGAAAGAAATACACGCATGACCAAAAAAGTGATAAAAGTTTATATAGTTTAATACTTGAGTACATTAGTGAACGAGTAAGTACACATCAATGAAAAGTCTGTGTGATCCAAATTGGGACAAACATACCCAATGTAGTCTGAGTAAACAATATATAAAAATTAGAAGCCTATCTGGTGGGTAACTAGGTCACTAGCTATGAATTTAAGAATATAGAGATATATCAGAGATGTATTGGACTGTATTAATTGGAAGAAGCAGAAGGGAAAACAAAAACAAAAACAATGCAGTTAAATTAAAGCAATTGAAAAGTGAATTATAAGGATAATCAATTGCAATTCTAGAAAATAAATAGCTTCATCCGTGAACTATTGCTTTTTATAGTTTCAAACTTTTCTGCTTCTCTTTTACAACAGCACAGGAACATGTTAACCATTTTCAGGCTAGTTAAATCAGAAGAAACAACTCCCTTTCCACTTTTTTTTTTTGGTGTTTCCTAGTTTTTTACCAAAATCCTGAATTAAAAATACATTTTATTAAAGAATTTACATTATTATCATTTATAAAATCCTTCAAACCCTAAATTCTATAAAGCAACACCCTAAATTGTTTATTTTGTTTTCATTGCAATAGTCACTCTTTAACAGTGCCTCAAAACCATCAATCATTCAATTGGTTTATATTTTTCATGCGTAAGATTACCTTGTGAATATTTCTCAAGTTCCAAAATATTTGACATTTTTATGACATTAGAAGTTCGAAGTCTATCTGAGAGTCTAAAATCCGAGACACTAGGTGTGCATAAATAGAGAATCCTGAAAATTATACCTTAAAATCACCTAAAAAATTTAACATGAATCTGGAATACATGTTCATTTTTTAGTGTCATAGAGGATTGCTATTAGTATTTATTTTTAGCTTTTTATTGGGAATTGGGTGAAGATTTACAGAGTAAATCAGTTTTACCTTTAATAATCAAAACATTTTGTTTCATATAATTGATTACAGTCCCCACATGGTAACATCACTTACCTGACTTTCTCCCTATGTTTCCTGCTCAATTCCTTCTTTTTGTTTAATCATTCTGGACTTTGTCCTTGCCTCAAAAGGTTATGACAATCTAATGAGGGGGACTCTACAAGGGTATCTTGATCTATTTTCTAAAAGGAAATTGTTATTGGGGCTTAATATAAAGACATGTTTTAAAAGTTGAAAACTGCATTGGTGAGAAAAATGTCAGTAAGTTGCACCAAGGAATTTATTATTTCTGTACACATTATATGGCCAAATATACTGAATGGCACAACATAGTATGCCTGGATCTCTATCCTTCAGTGAGTTATACACAATATTTGCTATAGAAGTTGTGTTTACTTGTTCTCTCCACTTTGCCAATTTGGAAAACTTTAAATTTTCACTTAATTATAATAGTTTAAAAATAATTTATTCCCTGTACCATTGATCTAATAATAACCCTTCCTCTAGGGGACTATCAATAATAGACTCAATAATACACCTCTTTCAAAGTTCCAGTGAATCAAGCATATGATTATAGAAATTTCAGAGGTCATTTCAAGACTTTATAAGCATTTCTATTGTAATGGCTATATCCTTCACCTTCATTCTATCATTTCCTAACTATCAGAAAAGAGAACTAATCTACAAAAGTAATTTCAACATTAGATTTTACCCAAACTATGAACTGATATAAGAAGGAAATCCTGAAACTACATATTTGAAAACCATTAATGTTGTGGGAGTCTTTTAGCATGTAAGTAAAGAGATTATAATTCTATTTTACAAGTGATGTGATCTGCTATCATTTATTTTCTCTTTATTGTCCCATAACTATGATAACTTTTTTCCCCTCATTCTTTTACTAATTTTCAACTGAATGAACACATTTGAAATTGAAATGAGTGGATCTTCATTGTCTTCCCTGGAGTACTTAGGGAAGTACTTTATCATTCTATCATTCTATCCACTGCCAGCTCCCCTGTTGGTACTCTTAAGATTCACTTCATCTGCTCACATTCCTGCCACAACTTTATCTCACTATAGAAATGACTCTTCAAATGATTCTCCTTATTCTATAACTAGCTCTTAGCTTCTGCATTAAATACATTAAATGCATCACCCTACTCCCAGTGCACAATTGAAGGGAAGTCATATGGTTAAATGCTTGTGTATAATATCAAAATATTTTAAAATTTCTGTCATGTTAATTAAAATAATATATTCATACAATAAAATTTTGACTATGCATTATGAAATAATCAGAGAGAAAACACTATGTGGTCCAAATTAATTTATTTTCTCCTTCTACGTTAAATCACGATTTAAAATTCATTTGTACCTTTTGCTTCCAATTGTAATCATGCAAGAAAGTACAATGTAATCAATGAATTGTAAAAATTATTTCAAATGTGGAACCAGAATGAGGAACATAGTATAAGAAGTAAGATCCTAGATTTTGTCTTATTTCTGGTATTGCTTATGTGGAATATTGTTAAATACAAAATAATACCTCATCCACACTCTAAAAATTATAACAGTAAATATTTTATTAATCTAATATTATTTCTTCTCTCGCAATATCAATCTTTATAGCATCTTGTACCTGAGGGTATAAAATACTCTCGACACCTAACTTGTGCTTCCTGACTTAAATTTCTAATATTTATAGTACAATGCACATGCTCCAAAATGTTCAGATTAATTCTCAAGTAAAACATATTTTTTCACTGCAATGAGGTTTATAGTTTCTTTTATGACTCTCCATTGATTTCTATTCTGAACTAAGCAATGTTTCACTACAATGCTTTTCCCAGGAGTAGTCAAAATTGACAGTTTAAAATTTCCACTGCTCTTTCAGAACAGTCACTCTCTCTGACTTAATTCAAAGAGAAATACAGAAAAAGTATTAAAGTTTTGTGTTTTATCATTGGCTTTCCCTGCAAAATCTTAGAAATTGTCATTTACCCTGGCATGTAGTATCTTATGGAGATTGCACATGGCTGATTTCATTTTGTTAGTAATCGATATGGAGGGTGGCTCAGAAGTTCTAAGGAGCATTCTTATTATATGATGATGTTTACTCATCTCTTAAGTGATGTTTTCCATATATACACCATAAAAAACTGAGATCCACTAGATTCCAACTTATCAAAACCCAATTGGATGGAGTAGTACTGCTCCTTTGGTTTCTGAAGCAGTAAAATTTTATAGAAGAAGAAGGTCTCTTAGGGTGACTGATGGATTCGAACTACTGAAATTGTGGTTAGGATTCCAGAACATAACACAATACACAACCAGGATACACACTAATAAAGACTGCATTTTTGTTGCAAATCAGCACCTTGAAAACCTGACACTCTGAATAGACCAATTATGCAAGATCTAGATAAAAGGGCATACTCTAGGAGGCATTTTTACATTATTCCTGGACAAATCAACCCGGTTAGACTCTGGTTGCTTAAAGAAGGCATGCAGGTGTTTTCACAGTTCATTGTCACACTCTTACTATGGGAGAGATTTTGCTGCTTTGGGTTTACTTAATAACTGAACTTTTATATCTTGCATTCTTGCATGGTTCATCTAAAGAGATATTGATATACTGGTGATATACACATATATTTCCATTAGAATCCCAATATGGAAGCCAGAGTCAGTTAATAGGTATTTGTACAATAGTGGGATAGATTAAAAAATATTGCTACAAAATCATAGAGTCTTCATTAAACAAAAACATCAAATTTCATTAAACCTCAAATGAAATTGATGTGACACTATCAATTTTCAACACATCGTCCATCTAGGTCTATACACTTCTGAAGGAGGTAGTTCCATCTCTCTCTCTCTCTAAAACTTCCCTGAATATGTGTTCCTTATGCCACTTCAAAATGGTGGCTTTGGCATCCTTCATGAACTGAAATTGTTACTTTTTAAGCAATTAAAAATTGTTACTTTTTAATGTGTTTCCCACATTATGATTGATGCACTTTATTATGGGATTTTTTTATTTGGTGATTTCTTGAATCTTAGACACAAAAAGAAATGAGAGGTTTCACTATTGGGACTGTAAATGGTAAGATTTCCCTTCAAACTTATTTTAGACAACACTTTGCTACCTTCCAAAAATGAGCAGCTTCATTGCTGTGATGAAAAAAAAAATCCTTGGAACAATTTTCCAGACCACTTCTCACCAATACATTTCTTAAAATGTATTTATAATAAGCCCCTGTTATTGTTGTGAGCCCTTCAAAAATATATCCTTATTATGCCATGGGAATTTCAAAATACGGTTACAATAGCCTTCTGAGCTAACCTCCGTGCCTTTAAAAATTACCACCCCCCACCCCCAAGATCTCCTTAGAAGTTAATTTTTCACTGGAGTTTTTAAAAGATACCTAATGAGATTAAGATAAGTTTAGTATGAACAGAACTTGTCTGCAGACAGTCTCTGATTGTAGAGACATGTTTAGGCATTTTTTTGTTTGGAATAAACTCATGCATTTATGAACTGAATCTCTAGTAGCAATATTTTTAACTTACCTTAGTGTCTCCATGTTTAAAATGCATAGATCAACCATTATGTTCTCCTTTTGTTATTCCAGGTTGAATTGAGGATATTATGGATAACAAAAACAAGACCAGAGTCACTGAGTTTATCCTTCTAGGGTTCCAGAATGAGAGAGGAGTAGAATTTTTCCTCTTTGTTGTATTTCTTCTCATGTACATGACGTCTCTGATTGGCAACACCATGATCATCCTTCTGGTGTGTGTTGATTATCATCTGCATTCACCTATGTATTTCTTTGTAGCCAATCTTTCCTTCATTGAGGTCACTATAACATCCACAGTTATGCCAAAGATGCTAGCCAACACTTTTTCTCCTACCAAAGCAATATCATTTATGGGATGTCTCATGCAATCTATCTTCTACTTCCTCTTCGGATCTACAGAATTTTTCATCTTAGCGGTTATGTCCTTTGACAGATACGTTGCCATCTGTAACCCACTGAGGTATACCATCATCATGAACAGACAAACATGTGTGCTCTTACTTCTGGCGTCCTATGTGGGTGCGTTTTTGTCAATGTTGGGGCCCTCTGTCTTAACTGCCCCCTTAATATTTTGTGGGCCAAATAAAATTAATCATTTCTTTTGTGACAGAGCCCCGGTGCTAAAGCTAGCTTGTGCAGATATTTCTCGGGCAGAGCTTGCTGACTTCATTGCCTCTGCTGTATTGCTCTTGGGATCCCTGCTCTTGACGGGAGTGTCATACACCTACATTGTTATTACTATCCTTAGGATTCCATCTGTTCAAGGAAGGCAGAAGGCCTTTTCCACCTGTGTTTCCCACATTACAGTGGTTACACTTTATTATGGGAGTGCTATCTTCCTCTATGTCCGCCCCAAAAAAGGTAATGCGGTGGATATTAACAAATGTGCCACTGTATTGAATACCATTGTAACACCAATGTTGAACCCTTTCATTTACAGCCTCCGAAATGAGAAAGTCAAAGAATCCCTGAGAGATACCTTTAATAAGTATATAGGTGCATTAACAAATTTTAGATCTCAAAAATGATGTTTTGCTGACATATGTGAATTTGTATGCTGGGCAACTATTCGTTCTTGATGTAATTTCTTGAAGGTTCATTCTTGATATAATTTCTTAATGATTAAAATTATCAAATAAAAGAGAAACAGATACTATAATCCAGTATTTCTTAATCAAAGTTCAATGCTTAGAAATATACTTAAAATCTTTGAGAAATTTATATTGAAATAAAAGTAGATTGTTGTTGATGTCCTCAAGTGCCAATGAGTGGGTTCTGACTCAGGAACAGAACAAATCATTGTCCCATCCTATGAGATCCTCACAATAATGCTAACGTGTGTGCCCATTGCTGCAGCCACTGTGTCAATCCATCTTCTGAAGGGTCTTCTTATTTTTTCTATCCTTCTTCTTTACCAAGCCTAATATCCTACACTAAGGACTGATCTCGCCTGATGATGTATCCAAAATATGTGAAACAACATCTCATTATCCTTGCCTCTAAGAAGCATCCTGGCTATACTACTTCCTAGACAAATTTGTTTGTTTTCTTGGCAGCCCATGGTTTCAGTACAGTAGAACCCCAGTACTCGACCTCATCAGTACTCGATATAATCTGATTTTGTTGTGAAATGTCGAGAATGTTTTGCATGCTTTCAGACAAAACATTGGAAATCCCACCCAACACACGTGATTTGTGTAAACAAAAGAAGTTCGTGTTTCGGCCACTTGGCTTTAGTTGCCATAGTTAGTACCCATTGTTTAAACAATTTGTGCTGTGTTCCAAGCATTTTGCTATAATTTTCTTAGTTTTTGTGGCTTTTTGGACTGTTTTTAGATAAAAAAAGAGACATGGGTCCTAAGAAAGAGTTTTTTTAAAAGAATCATCATGATAAGGAACTGGTTAACCGTCTTATTGGTATTGTTGATGATAATTTAGTAAACCCTTTTAGAAAACAGTTAAAGAAATGCCAACAGCAGACGACATTAGACAGATTTTTGTTTTTTAGAGAAAGCCAACCAGTTTCTAGTACACAAAAGGCAAAGAAGGGAGAAAGAAAAAAACCTCCTGAAAAGCAGCTACCAGTTGAGCTGATTTGATGGTAGGGGATTCCCCTTCCAAACAATGACTCTCTCCACACCTCCTCTCCACATCCCTGTCCTCAGTTCCAGATCCTCATCAGTCTCAAGGTATGGGCCATACTGTAGTTAAAAACTTTTTTAATGTTGTGTTTTTTATTTAAATTATATTATTTAACTCGGAACTTATTGACTTTGAAATTTCTGTGTAATGTTTTGTCTAAAAAGGCAAGGTTAGGGTAAAAACTTGGTGGTCGAGAATGGATTAATCTGTTTTCAGTTATTTCTTATGTGAAAAATTAATTCAGAATTTGACTGCATCACATCTCGACACTCTTTCTAGAATGGATTAGCCTCAAGGTCTGGGGTTCTACTGTATTCTTCTTCAGCACCACATACGCGTTTCCATATACATAATACATAAACAATAACAAAACTGTCTTTTCCATTTCCTCGTGATGACAAATCTTTTAAAATTCAATTCCTGCAAAACATGCAGATTTAAGCAGTCATTATAGGGTGGTTTTGCTTATGATAGATTCTCATGTTCTACCACACAGCTCACTGGTAACTTTTTGTTTGTTTTCAAATTAATATATATTTTTTATTTAATACAAACAGACTTCCTTTAGAATGAAATAAGAATAGATGTATTTGGACTTTATATTCAAAATAATGCATGTAAAATCAATTACCCCATTAGTTACTTAGATTCAATTTAAATTAAAGACTGACCTCAAGATTTGATAGCTTTTCCAGTCGACAGCGACATGTTTCTACTTCTATGACCCAGAAGTTGAAGGTCTATCAACCTGTGCCAATGGAATTGATCAAAACTTACATACCTTTACTGATAATGCAGAGAAGGGATAACTACTGGGAATAAATCAGATAAGTCTATTCCTAGTATACTTCACAAGTGCTGCAAATGATGTTAACTTCTGAATTTTAACTAACAAGTGGTTTTATACAATGAGATTTTTTTTGTTGTTAAATAATGACCTGGAATTTTATCATGATATTTTTAGGATGTATTACCTTTTTCATCTGTGGTCAAGTAATTACAATATCTAAATTAAATGCAAATATGAAATTGCTCCAAGGTAACTACTATGTTGAGTGTGATTGTTAATGTAGAATATATCTTTCTTTTGTCGAGATGTAACTTCAAAAGAATTCCATTGAGTGAAATAAGTTTAGTAAAATATACAAAATGGCATAAATATATATTATATATTAAAATATAAATTTCATTGTTGTCTGAACTTCTAAGATTCTTTCTCTATTTGTGTATTAATCTGTGTTTATGTTAACTACATCAAAAATATAGTTATCTGTATTTGTAATTCCCTCTGACGTATTTACAGCCTATTAATTCTGATACTTCTAATAAATATTCACAATGTCCACTTTTATGACTCCACCTTTTGACTTTCCCTCTGATGGAAGGAAACAATTCACATTAATCTACACGTCCCCTTTCAGGTACCACCTACTCATGTCATGTCTAGGCTTCGAACTCATTTCCAGAGCCGATTCATAGGGCCTAGCCACTGCTATCCAGTGAAAGGAGATACGGAATTTCTCTTCTCAATATAAATGGTCATTGAATACTAACATTTTATATTGCCATTAATAAAACATGAAGGCACAATTTTAATTTGTATGGAAGTAAGCGTGTATTTGTGAAGGAAAACAGCTGTTAAGAAATTGGTGGCGATAAGGCCATTTAAGAGAACCAGGTGCCCATTTAAGATGTTTGCCTAGAAGAACCTCCTTTCTCCCCCATAATATCAGATGAGGTAAGCTTCAGTTCACTTTTTGTGGGTTCTATGTATTTTTGGAAATCCCACATCACTCGGTGCACTTATTATTTTAACATGCATCTCAAGAGTAAAATGAGCTGGTAAAATGTCTTCATAGAAGGTGTATGATTTTCTTAACATATATGTGATGACTGTTTTATACCTAGTGATGGTCAAGTGCATGTCCCTTAATTGCATGTGATTTCCATCTCTAGTACTTGATATATAGTGAGGCAGAGATTTTTTCTTATTTCATTCATTAATGTATCCATAATATCTCTAAAATTGTGTGTTGGCTAATATTATGGATAAATATTGGTTGACTAGGAAAATAAAAAGCTAAAGAATTGTAAGGTTCAAGATATACTTGCTTAGTAAGATGATAAAATATTAAGATCTCACTCTTCTTATATAGGTAAATTATGGTAAGGTCCAAAACCACCAGCAGCTTTTCAGGAGAAAGGTGAAATTGTCTGCTGTCTTACAGAGTTAGTCTCGGGAACGCTAATTGGTTGCTATGAGCTGGAATGGAGTCAATGGCAGTGAATTGTTTTTTTAATCAATTATACTGACACTGAGGAGCTCAGTTTCATAGTCACATATTCCTCTTTGTCTACTACTATCGCATCACATTTTAGAGAACAGCCAGCTAATGTAGCAATATCAATATTCATTTATGAACATATTCTCCCATTTCCACGTTTCTCTACGTTTCGTCAACCCCACTCGATCATGTTGTACAGTGAAAGCACCCTCACAAGTAGCTGTTGGTTCTTTCCGTTTTCTTTAATAAATAGATTTTAACTTGCATACAGCCAGGCATTTTACTCTCAAATGAATTATTCTGCAGAGCTTATTTATATAATTTGGTACGGAATCCTTACATTACATAGTGAAAATTGTTTTTCTCTGTAAGTCAAAAGCCATATTTCTATATCTTCTACTTTCCTCTTCCTATTTTCCACAGTCCTCAGATCTATGGAAATATCACGAGCCCATCTCATTCAGCCTGCATTTGATTTCAATTCATCACCGTGAAATTATGAATAATGTCTATGCTTCTAAAATGACAATGGTTACCAACACTACACTTTCCAACAGCCATGGAATCCTGGTTGATGAGTAATCAAATCCCAAAATACTATTTCGAGGATATAATATCCATCCAGGACCAATTGTTATGCAAACATTCTTGGCAGATTCAAGTAAAGTTGTATCTTTTGCTGGTTATCTGGGAAATGAGAGCAGAAATAGAGAGTAAACAAAAATGGAAGTTACCAAGCAAAGCACCACTTTGGCAACTGAAACGAATCTACAAGAGTGTTCTTGCGGAAGTCATTACAAACTATATAGTTCAGAGTTAGCCCAAATGAAGCTCATGCTTTTATCTCCTCCTAGTTTGGAATATCTTATTTCTAAATTACCCATTCCAATCAACCCTGTGCTCTGAGATAAGCATGTTCTTTCATGTGAATAATCTTCTTGTGTTTCTTTATCTACATGCAAAGTCAAATCTAGAGTAGGACATCATCAAGATACCCAGCAATGTGCCCCAGCTCACAGGGTCTCCCTATGCTGTATTGCACCACATCCATGCAAGAAGTGAATCCAGGTAGTCACCTAGCAAGTATTCTAGACTGCCTGAAAGCTCCTTTTAATTTTTAGGCCTAGGGCGTAGAGTTCTGTGATGAGCACATCCTTTCCTGGCCTAGGTGCATCCACAAACAAATGGCTTGCTCAAAATGTAAACAGCCAAAGTCACCTTTCTTTGCCCCTTCAGGCTCCCAGCAGTTCTCTTTGGGTGTTTTGTCAAATGAAACAAGCCTGACATTTAAGGAATTGAGTGGGGTGTAACTTTTCTAAGTAATTGTAAAGGGCTTAAGACAGGAGGACTTATAGCTCTCTCTCATCATAATTTCCAATGTTCATTTCTATCACACATTATGTCAATAATAGTAAGTAGGAAATATCAGTATGATCTTAGTACAGCCAGATCCTAAGCACCATTCTTTTTTAAACATTCAAGCTCAACATTCTCTTAGGTATCTCATCAAAATACATATTGCAAAGTAATTTTGTTGACAGAGAGAAAGAAAAAGGGCAAAGACAGAACATAATTTCAAAGGTGTTATTTCAGAGTTCCAG